CTGCACTTTGGGGTCAAACGCTCTTTGGGGTCCAACCCTAAAGTGCAGTACACTTCACAGCGCATTTTGGGGTCAAACGAACTTTGGGTCAAAATCAGGAAATGAACCCCAAAGTGCGTTAATATGCTACAGATGAACGCACTTTGGGTTCCAAAGTTCTAAAGGTGCAAATTGAATTCTGCTTAAATAGTTTCTACTGACGTATTTTTTTAATATTTATGGTGACAGTCGATAATCACTTTGCCAAAATGCAATAAAATAATCTTACTTAGTTCCATTTAGATTTTTAAGTGACAGTCATTCCTAGATAAAAATGTTTTAAGAATTTTACAACTTTAAATATCAAATTTTTGACTTTATAACTAATTATATAAATTGTACGATTAAATGTATTCCTTAAAATAACATGTTTGGAAGGGCATTATGTTGTATCAGCCATTTACTTTTTGGTGCTATATTGAACCCTAAATTATATATGATGGGGATGCAATGGATTGCAGTAAAAACTATTTCATTGCACATATTTTCATACAATTCAAGTTCTGATTAACAATCATAGTAAAGTTGCATAAGGGCTACAGCTGTTACTTCTTTTCAAGACTATTTCACAATGTTTGACAATCCTAAATATGTGGACCACAAGACATAGGTAATTAAAACGTATACAATGTTAATATCATTAATATTTAAGAAGAAAATCTAGTTTGTAAATACAATTTACATCACGGAGTAATGACAATGATTTCTCGATTAGTCAATGCCTTTGAATAAATGTATTTGACATCTTAATGATTTTTACGTTTGTCAGGTACCAAGCATGTTATTTCATTTAAGTAACTTCTGCTATTAGTATATTTAAAATATTTTAAGTATACGCTCGTACGTTAATCTGTCCGCAATAACGTTGTTTCAATTTGTAGCCATTTTGGGATCTATATTGAGACTGAAATGAAATGACACAAGTGAAATTTAATGAAAACGTTGACCCGAAAGTACGTAACGCACTTTGGGGTCAGACCCCAAAGTGTGTTTGACCCCAAAGTGCGGTGTTACAATGGACAATTCTGAATTCCTATGCGAAAGAAAGTGCAAATGTTCAACTCTTAATTTCTAGAAGGTTATCTAAAGGCGACGCAAATAAATATGACCAAAAAAAGGTTATTTTTTGCAAATGTATATTGCAAAATTATGAAATCATAAAAAAGTTTTTTGTGTGATACAATAATTCCTAAGGCAAAGATCTTCATATGAAGTTAATAGCCGGTGAATGGACGAGTATATGACCAATTTTAGCAAATGAAAATGTCTAGCATTAAGTGCAAATAGAATAAGTACTTTTTTACCTTATATCCAATTTCTGATACTTTATAAGTTATTCTTGGTGGTTTGTTAACAAGACACTGTATAATTTTCAAGTTACTTAGTCATAACTTTTCATTATAGAGAAAAAAAACAATTAACATTTCTCATTTGTTTAAAGCGAGTACCTTTATTTTGTAATCTCAATAGCTCATTGATAAAAGCACCATGTTAATGGTAGAATCTTGATAAAAAAATTTAAAAAATCATTCTTTTCGGGATAGTTGTCATATTTCATTGGTTGTAGAGTTTCTTGACTATAAAATGTAATTTTCAGTACAGGAAGGTGGACTACTTTTCTTACAATTGCGTTCCTTTATTTAATTATATTTATATGTTATTTTATTTAATATTATTTCCTGGAAATTGAAAATATGAAATAGAAACAAGTTCTTACTTTTATGTATTTTCCGACTAAAGACATAAATCATGTAAATGAAAAGTAAACCTGTAAATATTAATGATTGGTAAATAGTAAGTAAATTTCTAAATCTTTTGAGAATATGTAATGAATTCAACGATTTTTTCAACGATTTGTTCAACTATTGTTTTGAATATATGTCCTTACTTTCTTATTATTTGTTTTACTTCTTGAACAAATATTTCCGGGCATTAAGAGTCTGAACTTTATTTCCTCTAGAAGGAAGTATCACTTTACGGTGTCTTTCTAGTCCAATTGAAACCTATATATAATTGCTTAAAAGCACCGACCATGATTTAGAAGTAATTAAGCCATATATGTTCACAGATTTTATGTGATTCCATTATATTTCTAAATGGTTCTTATTCCTAATGTTAGTCTTTATCAATGGTAGATTGAACTAATGTTAGTGTTGTATTGAACTTTATTTCTATTTAGAGGAAACAGCTAAGTAGTCAAGCACTTATCCTTTTCGGATATTTTGCATACATGAACAAAGCTGTCATGCTCGTCAAATCAATTGAAAGTTATGTTATCCTTGATAATAAGGTTGGCATCTTTTTTATTTGTGTTCATCATTACAAGTGACATTCCCCACTATTCTTTAATATACGAATAATTTCAAGCAATATTTTACAAATTAAAAGTTACAAAATGCTTATTTACGAACTCTTGTTTTCTTTACTTGTATATATAATATTGTCTTTAAATACCAGTGAAAGGAGAGTTATAATTGGTTATTTGTTAGTGATCAATGTATGTTTGAAACATTAATAATTTCCATATTCATAGACGTATCATGGTGCTCGTAAAATAATGGCGTTGTCTTATTATTTATGTAGTGATATATAAGAGCTCTTCATTTATTTACCAGTTATCACTGTCTTTGAAATCAATTTCTAAGAATTATTTTTTCCAACTTAGATTGCGCCGTTTCATTGTTCTCAGATTATTAACAAACATTTTCATATTTGTAAAAAAGGGGGTGATCGAAAGGTCAAAACTCTGGTATTGTTCAAGACAAATACATGCTAGCATATTATTAAATTCTATTCAAGGTATGACAGTTTTTTATTTTCTACTTTCTTCAAATGTGCTAAGTGTCCGGTCAAGTTTATGTTATTGTTCTAGTTTTGAAAACAAATAATCGTTACAGAATTTAAAGAAGTGACTTAAGGTATATTTAAATTGTTGCATAGGCAGGACGAATGAAGTGGAAACTTACCTTTTTTGTTTAGCCGTCTATGTGTCTTGTTTCAAACAATAACATCTTTGCCAGATGAGAGTTTCAGCTATTTATCTAATTTTGACAGCACAGAATGACATTTTCATTATACATTTTAGACTGATAAACTGACATATGGTTGTTAAGCTTTCCTGAAATAACTCTGTTGTTTACCAAGAGTAAAATCCCTCACGAATGTGATCAGTCACATGTTAATTCGATTATAAAAAACAACCAAATCAAATAATGAGTAAAAAATATGAACATTTCGTGTCCCAGATATACATTCTGTTGCATTATATCTTCATTAGATAATTTTATCACGATGTGTTTGGTTTTATGTACAAGAGAGTATATAGTATATACGGTGAAATGGTGATTATCTAATGTCAGTAAATTACATGGTGTAGTTAAGTTTGTTTGTTTTTTTGTTTTTTGTTGTTTTTTTTGTATTTTTTAAGAAACAATGTACTTAAGTATGCCGATGCACTTTATAAGGTCATTAACGTAACAATTATTAAGTTTTGTTATCACATTAGCAACAGTTAAGGTCTATCATATCTATTGTTTAACAAATCCTGAATTGTCTGATTAAGATGATAATATGTCCAGATCTAAATAATGGTCCAGACTGTAGTATATGATGTTATGTTATGGGGCGTGAGGGGTTGCACTTTTTCATTATCCCTCATGTACAGACTCTATCAAACTGAGTCTGCAATTTTCATGTATTTTTGTTGTGATTAATGCTTCCGAGGGATCACTTTGTTTCCAGATTTTTTTTTCACTCCAGAGTTTGGAAACTTAAATAGTAAATGTTATTTTAGACTTGGCCATAAAAAACGACATTTTGTATCATTTCAGTTTATCACGAGTCATTAACGCTAAGTCTTTTCATGACATTGTTGTCGATGCTTTAGTAAAAAAAAACATTAATGAACTTCGTTTCGTTTTGCATGCGATTTATTCTATCTTTTGTCTAATGTCAGGTAGCAAACCCTCGTTTCCTTGTTGAACAGGAAGTATAAGTTCCTGTCGGACTGTTTTGATATCATTTGTATTCATAACGAAGATCAAAAGAAAGTATATGAAAGGTTAAATTACTAAAAATTTAGATATATTTTTTACATTCCTGTAGATTAGTGTATTCCTATTAAAAATTTCTAAATGTCATTTACTGTTATATAGCAGACGTATATAACTTGGATTTATGTATATGAGCAATTATTTCATCAAATCCATCTAATTTCGTCTACAAGTTATGTAAGAACATCACCTTCTACATATAGCCAAATGTCATCCCTTGCGGGCTATTCTGCTGCCTCAGTATAAACCAAATGTCATGTCGTGCAGTCGTCTCCGAATCATGACCTATCCGAATCAGTACTTATCTTCTTTGTGTTCAGATATTAAGTTAAATATTTAAGTGTTATTATATTATCTAACAAAATATCTTAAGAAATCATAAAATGGTGTTTCTATTTATTAACGCATACTTTTCTTCAGTCTGTAAAACAATTTATACTTTTCTTCAGTCTGTAAAACAATTTTGTTTTTAAGTAATATTTATTCGTATGAGTTCACATAAAATGAATATACATTATTTGAAACAATTTGTTGATGTGTTTATACATTATATCGGTAGAGAAAGGAAAAAACATACCAGAAATAATTTAAAAAAAAAACAGATCAAACAAAAAAAATAATTGATACTTAGTGTTTAGATTACACAAGTTAATCGGATATCCTCTACTCGAAGGTCAAATCGGTTTTCAATGAGCAAAGCTTGGAAATAGATAAAAATGTTATAAAAATGTTCAATCAATACAAATGGGTTAAAATAATATTATGCAGTTATGACAAATGATAATTGTAAGCAATTTAACATAATATAAGCAATGCGATTTAAGCAGTGTATCTACAAATTACAAATAAGAACATTGTATTTGAAAATTCACAATGGTCAACATACATTTGAATCTCTTTTCGTTGCAGGCTCAGTGCAAGCTGCTGTCATTTCTGAAATTGTATTTTATTAGTACAAACTATATGTGGATGTTTTGTGAGGGCCTTTACCTATACAGATTGATTGTCAACGCCTTTTCACCTCCTAAAAGGCTTATACCATTCTACATTCTCGGATGGGGTAAGTAGATTAGCATCAAAATTTGCAAAACAATGATTGTTTACCTCTTACCTCACAACCATGTTTTCCCCAGTACAGTTTCATACAGAGATCGAAATGAAGACTTTTAGTGATGTTCAGATATAGCCCCGTCTATATTTTACGACAGTGGTGCTCAAATATAATTCAGTTTAAATATTTCAATTATATATAGTTTCAGTAATTGTAGAATAGGACCAGTATAAAACTTTTGAAACTGCAATAGAAGTGAAATGTTAGTACATCAAAACTGTGCTTAAACCAAGACATTGCTTGAATACAGTTTATTAAAATTAAACAATTGTGCTTATAATATTATATGAAATTCAGAATCAATATATCTAAGTAATTTGTCTATATTTAGTTATGAAAATGTAGTTTATTCATAACAATCTTTCAGTTGTTTATGATAAACAGATCGTTTTTCATTTATTTAGTAGTTCGGAAATTGTGATGCATGCAATTTAGAAATTATATTTGCAATTTTTTATTTCATTTTACAGGCATTCCTCTTGTTTTTACGAGCACATACGCCATTGTGAGATTAACACAGGCAAATGAAAGGTAATTATATCTCATTAATGAATGTTTCCATGTTAGAATGATATTTAATCTGATATGTTACATACTATACCAGGAAAATCATTAATATTTGATGATAACTTCGATTCTGGTTTTGATTTTTTTCACGATACGCAAACATTTGACATGAAAGTATTACTTTAATAGATATCAAGGTCAGTATTAAATTGATATCTAGCAATTAAGTGATTGATTAAATGCGTTGATTATCAATTTAATGTTGTTTATGATGAGTAAATATATTTAAACAGAAACGAAAAATAAAGCAATCGACTAAGTATTATGATTGTGACAAGTGCATCTGAAATTTAAAATGTATTATTAATATTTAATGAAGCTACATCTTCTATCGATGTGATGAATACAATGTACTGTTCATAGAAGTAGTTATATAGGTGGTCGATTAAATAAGCATTTTTGCCAAACCAACAGAAAAGCTTGCTATATATTTCATATAATGTACGTAAATTTAAATATTAAAAGGCTTTCGAAGATATTTTGTCGCCATTTTTGCTTATTACGTATATCAAATATGTTTTCATTTACTGGCAATTACGTATGAACTACATTGTACATTTATCATTAAAGAAATTATACATTTTTCATGCAGTTTGTTTAAATATTTTTGTTATATAAGTTATAATGGTGCCAAAGGAAGAAGTTTTCCAGAAATAAACCTTCCACAAAGAATCATTCATTCATGGTAGACAAAAATACCTCCTAAAATTGCTAGATAATTCATCATAGCAAGTTTTCTTAACGAGTGCTTTTGTCTTAATATCAGTGTTAGACATACAATTATTTACCGACTATTTGGATACGCATTAATTTATTTTATTAAGACCTTTATATCATCTTATATTTGCAAAAAGCCATTTGTTTACATGGAAAATAACTTATTAATATAGGTATAAGAAATCTATTATCATGGCGCTTCAGAGAGGCTCATGTTTTAAACGATAGTTTGTTAGTAGTTTACCTTTTACTGTTGTATGATTATATCAACATTTAAAACTACATATTTTAAAGATCAGTGTGTTCATTAAATACAATATTTCAAAAAACTATTATGTGTTTCCGACTTGAATAGGATTATAATTTTTAAACTTATTTGAAAGGTGATATGTGCTGTATCGATTCATCGGCCAAATATGCACTTAATGCTTAATATAGGCCCATATTAGAGTAGCGATACATTATGTCTTGACATTTTCACAATTAAAATCTATTATTACCTTATCCCTTCTATAAATACTTATTCCTTATTTACAACTTATTAATTGGACGGCTGAAATCCTGCGCACGTGTAATGATGAAATAACGTGTTTGCCGGTCAACATTTTTAACTGTTACACCCATGTCGACGTTATCGGGTATTTCTGTTGACGCCGCCCGCGTCTATTCGGTTAACGAACGTACATATGCTAAATGTAAGGAAGTGGTTTGTCTGTAGAATTCAGGTGTAAACAATGATGTTGCAATGTATATTATAGTTTTATTGCAAAGTATAATATAATAAAGCAGTTATTCCGTTGGTGTTTTGGAACAGGAAACTGTTGTTTCTCGGTATCAGATATAACATTTGGAACTGTTAACCTCGGCAATCGGCCTCTGGCAACAGTTCCAATTGTCATCCCTGATACCTCGGGCAACATTTTTAACTGTTCCACATACACCCATGAAATAAGTGTATAATGATTTATTTTTTATGTTTATATAGTAGCTAAATCATACTACCGGAGTATTTGTAATTAAAATTCTGATAAATTTATGTCAGTTGTCTATGACAATTCAATATCATACGTTTATAAATCAAAGTAATGTTTGCGATATTGGCTTGATATTGCAACCTGCTATTATCAAACGAAATTAATTGTGTATAAGTTCAGTTATATGATAGTGAATAAACAGCATGACTGCATAAAATTATTTAATAAATCAACGTAATAACTAAAAGATCTTATATTACCTAAACGTTTATAGCATTTGATAAATGATGTTATTTTATACCTTGCATTTCAATAGTGATCTTGTTTAAATCAAAATAACTGACTCTATGTTGCAAAGATGTATTTGTATTATTTCTTTATGGGGTATCATAAGTTCTGTTGTAGCTGTGGGTATGTAGCATGTATTTATATTGCAAAGTTATTATTGTTAAAGACCGACTGAAATGGCACATGGTCATATAAAATGCATTTTGCCCAGGTCCCAATTGAACAATTAAACATATCAAGACATTGACTGCATAAATAATACGGAATGTAAGGAGGTTAAACATAATTGATACGACATGTTAGTCATATATTGACATGGTTTGAATGTTTACATTTGATGATAAATAGTTTTTTCGCCTGTCATGTTTCAGTCAAATGTCTATCAAGAATTATGTATTAAAAGACTATTTGAATTGATTTATAATTTTGAATTCCTATATTTATACCCACTATGATACTTGCAATTATCTTAAATAAAATCAAATTTGATTTAATATCCACTTGAGATGTCAAATATTACACCTACGTATGAATCATGTAAAATATCTTTGCAGTATGGTCCATGTAAAAAAGTATCAGTTTGAAACGTTTATTTATTCAAACGTCAATCTATCCAATGTAATGTAAGATTATATCAAAATAAACACCAGCAGAAAGTACAGATAAAATTCCAATGATATTAGATCGTCTTCCAACGTTAAGTTATTTCTGATAAGAACGTGTTAGCAATTTCTACGAATGAAAATAAATAATATAACTTACCGAATTTTCAAGTGTATGAAATAACTCTGCGTCGGTATTTAACGCAAAAGAACACATTAACAAGCATTTCTTTTTCATTTAATATTGGCTCTTACAATCCATTTTCTTGTGTTTAATCAAAATGATTGACATTTTTCGCATCATACAAGATACATATACAAGGACTAAAATATGACATTATAAAATTCTCGAAAAACGCGAAATCCGTCAAAAACAGCAATGTTGCAGTCCACTGCATACTAGCACAGGATAAACAAATCTTGAAGGATAAAATTTAAATACTTTTACACCAATTGCCTGAGAAATATCAAAAACGAGATCAAACAGTATGGTGTGCTCTTTGTAAACTCTTTATTACATTCATACAAAACAATGTGTGGATGCCCTCAAACAATTTACAGAAAAAGAATATTATCATTGCATAAATTCTAGTTAATCTTCTGGTGCGACATGATCTTTTATTACTGTTTGGCTCAACAGAGCATTAGTTCAGAAATAAAATATTAAATTGACAATATTTACAATATTTTTGGCAAAATATTGTAATATATGTGTTTTAATTAATGTGATAAAGGTGTACACAAACTTGCATGATAAAATTGCAAAATGAATAAAAAATATATACAAAAGTATTTTAAGTTATAAATGCATCTATAAATATAAAGAGCAACCGGAGACAGCCAGGAAAGCAAGAATACATTATTTATCGTAATTCCTTTAAGCTTTTAGCAACAGCCGAAACCTTCTGAATATGGTTATAACACATAAATTCAAATTTAAATGTTAAAGTTTTTAGTCTGCTTATTTTCGTGAAAAATTGACTTACTTTTCAATGTATGATTCGAAACACACTTTGTTTTATTTTCCTAAATTTTGAATTTTAAAGTTAATTTGCGAACAAGTCCACAAAATAATTAATGTAACACTTTTTTAATTTCTTATACTTTTATCGTTATTTTCAATAGTGTCTTATATTTGTCTAATACCACAACTTTTAGAATAAAGTCAATGTGATAAATGAATGTAGTTTCTTTATAATTACAATATCATTCATGAAAAGGGTGACATAGTCAAAGCAGGTGTTAGTGGACGTGAGAGATGTTGCAATTCCAAATATCTTTCATAAACTTAACCAATAAGGGTCTGTTATTTTAATTTCTAAGGATCTCCAGTTTTCTTTTCTTTTTTTTTTCATTATTTAAATGGTATTTCATCAAAATTTATGTCCTAACATTTCCATTTTGAAACAATTATCTTGTAACAACTGCACGCAAACGTTTCATTCGACAGTATTAAATTGGTGAATGAGATTGTAGTATTCAACTTATCATGCGTCAATTTGGTAGAAATCTATTTGATGTCCTCTCATATCTATACATATGGAATAAGTCAAACATTAACGTGCAGTGGCATGTGGGAAATAATAGAATCAGATAAAAACAACAAGACCTTCCCATTGCCTCCATTATTCTATTTATTTGAACATGTTTTATTTCATTCATTGACTCACTGCATGCTATCCAACAATACACGATCAACCAATATCATGACTGGTTAATTTTAATGAAAATACTAATGTGAAATAATCATTTATATACGTTTTAAGGCATACATACAACTTAATATCATTATGTCATTCATGGTTATTGGGATATCAAATAATTTTGAAAATAATTTAACTAAAGCAATATTGTTCAATATTGTTGTTCGTGGACTTTCAATTTAATGTTTTGCGTAAAAAAAAACAAATGAATCATGTTATTGTGCATGTATTTTTACAATATAAATTAGCTGAGAATAACTTACATGTTGACAAATGAATAATTTTACTAGCTTGGGAAGGTACCTTGAACGCTATATTTTTAGAACTCTCTGCTATTGTTGGCATAGCAAACGGCATTTTATAACATGTATATACCGAAAATATGTAAATACGTTCCATTTTGAATACCTTTATATGTCAGTGATTAATGTTCATAGGATTAGATTTGCCAAATAATCAATCAGTTTGAGAATCAATTAATTTCTGTGATCGCTTTTAGCTTTATAAAAGCGAAGTTTCTGGAAAGATTTGATAACTAATAAATCAAAACATTTTTTGAAATTATCTTAAATATTTTTGTACTGCAACTTTCTTGTTTCAACAAACTGTGACTCAGCATGACAGATGTCGACTAATTAACAAATTGTTGTAAAAGTTACACGTTGGTCATCAAAATCATG